AGCGGGCCTGCCACGGAGCCCCCGCACCCAGGAGCCGTCCCGGCGAGATCCAGGCTCCACGCCCCGCCAGCCCCACGCCCGGCTCCCGGACCTGGCGCTCGGGAGGCCGAGGCAACGACTCTCGCGCCGCTCCGGTTGCTCTAGGAGAGTGGAGGCCGCCGCTTCTCGGTGGTCCTCCTTTCTAGCCCTGGGAGGGAGGCGAGAGCGGTCGGCTTCTCCCAGAGACACCAGCTGTTCTTGGGCGTCACTACGGGGATGGGGAGCAGGCAGTTGGTGAGAAGGGTTCCCCTGGGAACCCTCTCTTGGCTTTCCGACCCACCCCTTCCTCTCCACCTCACTGTACCCTAGCATGGTCGGATGCACGTTATCTGCCTCCCTTTACTAGTTTCTACATTCCCAGAACAGTGTGTGTCCTTGACATTTTCATCTTTGTGCCTCTAACATCCACCCAATGTCTAGTCCCTTTTGGGGACTAATTTAACTGCCAAGGAATATTTGTTGACTAAAAGAATGAATAAATGTTGAACTAGTTTTTCAGTTGAAGGGAGTAAAGCCCAAAGAGAAAATGGCTTACCTAACATCACACAACATACAAGGAAGTTTTTAAAAATAGAGTTGTGAAAACAAATGAAGACCACTCAAATGAGAACAAGCAAAGTATTTATTCAGAGCTTGTTATATAGCAAGGGAATCAGCCCCCACCACTTGTGCAGACTCAAAGTGAGGCAGAGAATGGGAAAGCTTTGTAGTGGAAAAGAAAGGAAGGGATCAGGGTTCCCTAACTGGAAGTTGTTGGCATGGGGAAGCTATAGACCTGCTAACTAGAAGCTGGGCGTCTTCTGTAATTGGTTAAGGGAAAATATTTGGCTTTCTCTGGTTGGCCCTAAGTTGGAAGTGGAGACCAATATAGGGGAATCTGTCAGTTATTATCAAATCCTGTGGGTCATTTGCTACTGGACTGATTGCTAAGGATAGTAGTTGGACTTCCTAGAGTGGTTACTGCAGAAAATGGGTTGGCTTCTTGAACTGGTTGCTGCAGATTGCAGGACACACTTATATTTTTCTATGTGATCTGACCATTGTCTATTTGCATATTCACTCTCTCAGGATGAACAAGGTAGGAAGAAGATATGTTCTTCACTGGAATTCAAGTTCACAGTCTCAATGCTTAGATGCCTTAATAGCTCCCCAGGTACTGAACATTTACTGATACCATTCCCAAGAAAAATCACTGAGCAAACTAGACCTTAAATGGAATACCAAGATTGTTTATTTTTAAGAAGATATTGGAGAAGGAGAAGTTCATAAATGGACCCTACCTGATAGTCTGTGAGTGCTAAGAAGAAAGCAGTAATTCTTACCATGAAGAAGATCCTAGGTAGGTTGACCATACCACAAAGGCTTTTGTGATTTTTTTCCTTTTCTTTTTTGAGTTGAAATCTCACTCGGTCATCCAGGCTAGAGTGCAGTGGCATGATCATGGTCACTGCAGCCTCGACCTGCTGGCCTCAGGCAATCCTTCCACTTCAGCCTTCCAAGTAGCTGGAACTACAGGCATGTGCCACTATGCCCAGCTAATTTTTTGATTTATTGTAGAGATGAAGTCTTGCCAGATTGTCCAGGCTGGTCTCAAACCCCTGGGCTCAGGCAGTCCTATCGCCCCTGCCTCCCAAAGTGCTGGGATTACAGGCATAAGCCACTACACCTGGCCAGATTTTGTTATTTTCTTGGTGACAAGATACAGAAAACTGAACTAGGTGACAAAAGAGTCATGAGGATTTTAGCTCAAAGCAAGAAGCCCTGGAGATGTACAATTACTAAGTTGTGGTCCACCAGCAGGAAGGTCTTTTATCCCCCTCTCTCCAGATTTGCAGTAGCCTTGAAAACCAACACCCTGGAAGCCATTAGAGGTAGAAGATGGGATTGGAGTGCCTTCAAAGTGTCAGTCCTAGGGAACTGTCATTATTAACATGTCTGATGGTTCTTGGAAAACCCCACTTGCAAAACTACCTTTATTTGACCAACTTGAAGCTCACTCAGTGCAAAGTTTTCCATGAGGGAGTAGATCAAAAGCATTTTAAGCTAATTGACTTTGCAGCTGCCTGAAGTGAAGGATAAAAATTGGAGCAAATCATAGGAAAAACAAATAATTTAAAAGGAAAATCTGGGGAGTGAGAGGCTTGAATAGCTCTGACATATCCCTGAAAATATAGATGTCCATTTACATGCATAGACCTATGTCCAAGAAAGATATAAGAAAGGACTGACTCTCTGATGAGTTTCCCTGGGTAGAAACATAGCACACATGTTGCTGCATTTTCATTACTAGAAGGAGAGAGGTTGTGATCCCTCAAGGCAGGGAGATTACCCACGCTTGGGCTGCATGGCTAGGAAGTCTGAACATAGATTCCTTCAGACCCCAGCTGTGTCTTTTTCTCTTAAAATATGGTTATTTATCTTTATTACATGGTTGTAATAAATCTTAGTCATGACTACAACTATATGAGTTCTTCTAGGGAATCTTTGAATGTGGGGGTGGTCCTAGGGACCCTCCGACACAGGATGATATGAGAATTAAATGGCATACTACATGTAAAGTATTTCGTGTTAAAACTTAGCTCATAATAAGTTCTCAAAATAACAATGATGATCTGGGTGGCAATGCAGATGATCAGCATAGAGCCATACACACAACAGGAGCTCAACGTCAGCCATTCCAACTCCCACCTTATCCCTCCACCCTCTCCCACTATGTGCCCTCATATCTCTTAGCCTCTTAGTGAATGCACAACCCAATATATTTATAATAGCATCTCATTGCTGGCAAGTACCTAAAATTCAGCCTCCTGTTTTGACATATCAGAAGAGAGGCCCAGAGAGGTAAAATAAAATTTTCCAGGTCATGTCATGAATGACAGCATAGTTGAAACAAGAACATAGATTTGCCTTTTACATGCGCCACTGGCTTTGCTGTGACCTGGTGTGTGTAATGCAGGCTAGGAGTAAGCAAAAGTAACTTTGAGCTACCCTGTGAAGAACCCAGGCCGCCATGGAGGGGGTTTCCTTCTCCTGGAAAAATGGAGGAACCTGGAAAGCTAGAAAACAGAGCCAAAAATAAGACCAGTCTTAAATAAAACGGTTATCTGACCTAATGGCAGGGTGAAATAACTTCTCCCCGTATCTCCATTTCAGCGACACTATTTATTCCTGGGGGTGAGGCAGTGAGCAGGAGGTGAAACATACCGCGGAAGCAGTCCATATCGTCCAGAGCTGCAAAAAAAGGCAAGCAAGACTCAGGGGAGAGCCGGTGCGTCCAGACTAAAGAACCCACAGCGCAGAGCCCCAATATAGGAACTACAGCAAGTAAACAAAATCTTCAGATCGGTGCCCAGCTGCTCAAAACTCTGAGCCACATATGGAATCAGACATGACATCGCACAAGACCACAGCACTTGGGCCCAGACTAGAAAACTCAATCCACCATTCTGCCCACGATGGAGATGGAATGGGCAACCGAAATGATGCTGCCGCCCGGCTTATACGATGGGAACTCGCAGGGGAGTAGGCCGATGTGGTGGCCTCCTGCCGCGCGCGCGCGTACCGGACATGGAGGCCCTGGGGAGGGAAGGAAGCGGTTTCCTCCGTACAGCCTCCCCCCGCCTGGGACCCACTCCCTTACTGACAGCTCCGCAACCAAACTGACAGACACAGCGCCCTGAATGTAGAGACCGAAGACGACCGGCAGAGGTCACCCCGACGCTGACTACTTCTCACAACTCCAGCCTGGAGACGCCATGGCGGCTTCTACGGGAGCGGAAGTACGTCATCCTCTTTCCGGCCCTGGGAACGCGGGCGCTCTAGCATGCCCGGAGGCCCCTTCTGCATATCGTTGCTCTAGCCTGGTCTCCTAGGCTACAGTTTCAGGCGGATGTGAACTTAATAGGTGAGTCCTAGGCGGGCCGCGGGCTCCTGGTTTTTGCTGTGGATTGCTGTTCCCCAGACCCTCGGGAGAGTGGGAAGGGCAGTCGCGTGGACCGACTTCCCCGGGGTGAGCCAGCACCCCCTCGTCTGCTGCTAGCACCACACTACACATAACCCCGGATGACTTGTCCCTGTCCTCCAGGGCTCCTCCATTGATCACCTGATTAATGTGCCCTTCCTGGCCCCCACCTCCCTCACTGCTCTGCTCTTCTTGGCAGCCTATCATAGTCACAATCATACTTCAAAAATATTTCAGGGTTGTCCCCAGACCTACGCAATAAAGCAAGTCACTCGGATTTTTTTTTGTTCCCCAGGGCATATAAAAGATGCTTGCCCTATATTGTAGCTTATTAAGTATGCAATTACATGTCTAAAAAAAAAGTACGTATGTTCATTTTTGAAACTTTATTGATAAAAATGCTAACAATCATCTAAATCTTCAGCAATTCCTAATCTTTTTTGCTAGGGATTAGATGGTAGTTGCTGAAGTTTGGAGTGGCTGTAACAATCTCATAAAATAAGACAGCTATGAAGTTTGCCACATCATTTGACTCCTCCTATTAGGAAAGATTTTTCTGTAGCATGTAGTGCTAGTTGGTAGCACTTTACCCACTATAGACCTTCTTTCAAAACGAGTCAATCCTCTCGAACCCTGCTGCTGCTTTATCAACTAAGTTGATGCAATATTCAAAATCCTTTGTTACCATTTGAACAGTGTTCACAGCCTCTTCACCAGGAGTAGATTCTATCTCAAGGAACCACTTTCTTTGCTCACACATCCTCCTCTGTTTCAAGTTTGATCATGAGACTGCAGCAATTCAGTCACACTTTCAGACTTCACTTTAAATTCTAGTTCTCTTACTGTTTCCACCACATCTGCAGTTGCTTCCTTCACCTAGTCTTCAACCCCTTAAAGTCTTCCATGAGGGTTGGAGTCAACTTCTTGCAAACTCCTGTTAATGTTGATGTATTTACTTCATCCCATGAATCTCAAATATTAATGGCATCCAGAATGTTCAGTCATTCCCAGAATGTGTTCCATTTGTTTTGCTCAGATTCATCAGATAAATCACTATCTATGGCAGCTATAGCCTTTATGAAATGTATTCCTGAAATAATAAGACTCAAAAGTCAAATGACTCCTTGATTCATGGAGTTCAGAATGAATAGCATTGACAGGAATGAAAACAATATTAATCCTTTGTACATCTCCATCAGACCATAAACTCCAAAGAGGTAGTGGTCATGTCTGTCTCACTCACCACTATAGTCTCAGCTCTTGGCAAAATTTCTGCTAGTAAGTGCCCAATAAATTTCTGGTGAATTGGTAGGTGGGACTGCTCCAAAGAAGGAGGGAATGAATCGACGAGAGGTGAATAAAGAAAGGTAACGATCAATGTAAAATGGTGCTCCTTCTATTAAAACCGAGGAGACAAAGTTCAGCTCAGTGGATTTGGCCCAAAGACAGTTTCTGACTGTGAATTCCAAGCCTAAATAGAGTTGATGGTGTTAAGTACTTGCTGTGCTTGCTCTGAGCAATCAAAGAGGGTTTCTGGAGGCAGAGTGTGACCAGTTCTAGCTCCCCACCAAGAGGAAGCTCGCAAGGCACAGCAAACTCACTCAGGAGGGCATGTGAAAATTATGTGGTTATCTGAGGAGCCAAAGTCCCTGTTTGCTGGTCATTAGAAAGTTAAATTGTAATTGCAGAGTTAATCAGAACCCATTGAATTAAGTCTGAACCTCACCTATTGCAACATTGGGCTAAGTGGATTCACTAAACCCTTGGGGTCAGTGACACAACTTTCTCCTTCCTGAGCCGCTGACAGGACCCTGAACTGACATATCTCAGGAAGCCCCTAGTCAATGGTCAGCTTACCTCAGTGTCCCAAGCCAGAAAACTGTCAGAGAAAGTACCTGCTGAACGCTGAGGCTAGATCCTCTTGTGAAATGAAGTAGTTGGTTGAGGTCCCTATTATCTCAGACACATCATGATTCCAGGATTCTGCCTTCTTGTTAGAGAAGTATATGGCCAGTGGGACAGCTCCAGGTGAGAGGCTTAGAGATTGAGGGCTGAGCCTCTGCTTGAAGAACCCTTAGTCTAGGAAGCTCTGTGGATCCCTCAGATAGATTCATTCACACTATACCAGATGGAGTGAGCACCCCCTCCACCAGCTCTGCCTTCCCAGGGCCTAATGCCCTATATTATACCTCTTTTCTTTGGGTCAGAATATCAAAAGCTCCTGTAGAAAAAAAAAATACATTGATTTTTTTCACTTGGCTTTGACTGTGTGTCCTCTGCACACATGGAGTTAGGAGCAGACATAACTCCAGCAAGATCCTGCCCTGTAGGCAAGCATCTTTGAGACAAGAAGGGAAGAAAGACGTGAGAAAGGATGAAGGAGTAAGCACAGGCTGCCATGGGTCCAGGGGAGGGGGCAGAGGTATGAGAAGAGGCTTTAGGATATGAACTGACATGTAAGAACACTAACATGAGCCAGGCTCTGTTCCAAGTACTTTTCATGTTTTGTCTCTTTTTGCCTCACAACAGCACCTATGAAGCACTGTTATTAGCCCCACTTCACAGATCAAGGAATGGAAGCACAGTGAGGTTAAGTAATTTAATCAGAGAGGCCAACTCAGAATGGAAGCTTTAGTTGAGTCTTTTAAAGATGAGGAAAGAGTGGATGTGAAATGTTGTAACTGCTTTATGCATTTCTACTGAATGAGCTGACAAATGAATGCAGGAACAATTAAGGGTGCAATTAAGGATCAGTAAGTTATGGAGGTTGGAGTGGGCTCAAGGCAGGCTTAGAGAGAAGGTGCTGGAGCTGAAATGGAAAAGGTCAGAGCAAGGCATGAAGCTGGTAACCAGCTGTGGCCATAGCTAGAGGCACCATAGCTCTGACCTTCCTTCTAGTTACTGCTTCCTCCTCTCACATGACCAGGATCTGCTAAGTGCAAGTCTGTGGGAACATTTTGCTCCTAGGTACTGTCTCACTAGGATTATTTGCCATAACTTGCAGCCACAGGTCAAGGTCCGGTGTTTGCGTTATCAAAACTCTCTGGCATTCAGAGAACTGTGCATCTGTCCAGAGCTCAACCTGCAGAAGCATAGCCATGGTGCTCTGGGGTCCAGTGCTGGGAACTCTGCTGGTAGTTATTGTGGGATATCTGTGCCTGCCAGGACTGCTACGACGACGCAAGCCCCAGGAGCCCCCTCTGGACAAGGGCACCATGCCCTGGCTTGGCCACGCCATGGCTTTCCGGAAGAATATGTTTGAATTCCTGAAGTGCATGCGGGACAAGCATGGGGATGTGTTCACAGTACAGCTTGGAGGCCAGTACTTCACCTTTGTCATGGACCCCCTCTCCTTTGGCCCCATCCTCAAGGATGCACAGAGAAAGTTGGACTTTGTACAATATGCAAAAGAACTGGTGCTAAAGGTATTTGGATACCAGTCAGTGCAAGGGGACCACCAGATGATACACTCAGCCAGTACCAAGCATCTGATGGGGCATGGCTTGGAGGATCTTAATGAGGTCATGCTGGACAGCCTGTCCTTGATAATACTGGGGCCCCAAGGCCAAAGTCTGGGTGCCAGTTGCTGGCGTGAGGATTGTCTTTTTCACTTCTGCTACAGCATCTTGTTCAAGGCTGGCTACCTGAGCTTGTTCCGCTATACGAAGGGCAAGGAGCAGGACCTGCTACAGGCAGAGGAGTTATTTACGAAGTTCCGCAAGTTTGACCTTCTTTTCCCCAGGTTTGTCTACTCCCTGCTGGGGCCCCTGGAGTGGCTGGAAGTGGGCCGACTCCAGCGTCTCTTTCACAAGATGCTCTCTGTGAATGACAATGAGGAGAAGGGTAACATGAGCAACTGGCTGTGCTACATGCTTCAGTTTCTGAGGGAGCAGGGAGTCTCCCCCGCTATGCAGGATAAATTCAACTTCATGATGCTCTGGGCTTCCCAGGGGAACACTGGGCCTACCTCTTTCTGGGCTCTCTTGTTCCTCCTGAAGCATCCAGAAGCCATGCGAGCTGTGAGGGAAGAAGCCACCCAGGTCCTGGGTGAGGTCAGACTGCAGGCCAATAAGTCCTTCGTCCTCAAACTCAGTGCCCTGCAACGCACCCCAGTGCTGGACAGTGTGATGGAGGAGACCCTACGGCTGAGGGCTTCGCCCACCCTCCTAAGAGTGGTACACGAAGACTATACCTTGAAGATGGCCAGTGGACAAGAGTACCTGTTCCGCCATGGAGACGTCGTGGCCCTCTTTCCCTACCTCTCAGTGCACATGGACCCTGACATCCACCCCGAACCCACGACCTTCAAGTACAACCGCTTCCTCAACCCTAACGGCAGCCGAAAAGTGGACTTCTACAAGGCAGGCAAGAAGATCCACCACTACACCATGCCTTGGGGGGCAGGCGTCTCCATCTGCCCTGGGAGGTTCTTGGCACTCAGCGAGATGAAGCTCTTTATCCTGCTCATGGTCACACATTTTGACCTAGAGCTGGTGGACCCTGACACACCGATTCCCCCTGTTGACCCCCAGCGCTGGGGTTTTGGCACCACACAACCCACCCATGATGTACGCTTCCGCTACCGCCTGCATCCTGCAGAGTGAGCGAGGCCAAACCAGCCACAAGCCTGTCCCAAGGAGCTGCCTGGGGGCTCCCACCTCTTCTTGCTCCTCTGCTGTCACATGACTACCCCTTCCTCTGGTATGTGGCAGCTCCTGCCTTTGCCCTGGTTGTCCTCGCTCTCACCCCTTAGGTATTTCACAGGCTTACGATTCTCTCCTTAAAAAAACCATTCTTTGTAGTGGGTTCTATTGAAGGAAATCCTGTGGAAGGACAAATATCTGTGGGCAACTCAGTTTGAGAGATGATGCTTGCCTTGAGAAGTCTTGCAGTACAGAAACTGTTTCCTGTGAGTACCATGGCATCCTACAAATGAGAGTATCCACACTCGCACCTCACTTTGGTTTTTTCCACACTTATTTTACATCCTATGGAATTCGGGTTCTGGAACAGTGTGAGCCAATACATATATAAGGCAAGCTACCTGTGTCATTTTAAATTTTCTAATAGATACATTTTTAAAATTTCAATAACTTTAGGTGATTTTGTTATTCCTCCCTCTTCTGACCTCCTTCCACCCTCCCCTTATGAGTCTCCAGTGTCCATTATGCCGTTCTATATGCCTTGGCAGATCGTTAGCTTAGCTCTCACTTATAAGTGAGAATATGTGATGTTTTGGTTCTGTTCCTGTGTTACTTCACGTAGGATGATGATCTCTAGTTGCATTCAAGTTGCTGCAAAGGACATTATTTCATTTTTTATTGCTGAATAGTATTCCATGATATATATATATACCACATTTTCATTATCTGCTAATCAGTTGATGGGCCTTTAAGTTCATTCCACGTCTTTGCAATTGTGAATTGCTTATAGATTCATTTTTTAAAAGTAAAGGGAAACAGATAAAATTCATTCTCACAATATACTTTAACCCAAAATCCAAAATATTAGCATATCAACATGTGATTCATATTTTAAAATCTTCACAAAATATTTTTATATTCCTTTTTTCATCCTGTCTTCAAAATCTGGTATCTCTTGTACCCTTATAGCACTTCTCAGTTTGGACCAGCCATATTCTGAGTGCTCATCATGCCATGTGGCAAGTGGCTGCCATATTGGATAGTGCAGACCTAGAGAAACATTGCCTAATATAGGAGTTATTCAAAATCCTTCCTCAGTGCCTCATCTCCTCTCTGCACCTCTCCATCTAGGTGGTTTCAACTTTCCCTGGTTTCCTTGATCATTGCTGAGCTCAGAGCTTTCTCCTACCCTCATGGGAGTCTCATAGCACCTCTAACTGAACTTGGCCTATGCAGAACTCGGTCCCCAGCTTCTTCCCTGAACCACTCCCTCCTCCTGATTTCTCTACCTTTGTTGAGAACACAACCACCCACCCCATCCTCGGAGACAGATACTAGAGACTCCATCTCCTCCCTCTCTCTCATTCTTATACAATTAGATCCCAATCCTGTCACTGCAACCACCTATGATGTGACTGAAATATGTTCCCTCTTCCACACCTCTGCTGCCATTCATATACCTGTGACTTCTGCATTTCTCTTCTACATCAAACCTGCCAGTCCCTGTTCACTCTGCTGCCAGGGGCCTTTTACCAAAAGTCCCTCTGATTATCACTTGTTCACTTTCCTGACTCCCCCTTGCCTTCACACCCCTGACATTTACATTTTGCCATAGTTGGGAATTTTTGCCAAATTTCTCAATCCAGTGCTATTCAACTTTGCTAGTTTTCTCCAATGGACCCATCCCTAAAGTGGAGGCATTGCCTTTCCTGCCAGCTGTTCCTAGAAGCCTTCTTGGATTTTGCCCAACCTATTCTCTAGCCCAAAATGGCCTCCATCCCCTTGAGCTCCGCCAGCACCATTTGTATCCCAGCACATCTGTTATGCGTCATTGCTTTCTGTGTTTTGGTTTCCTCCTCTTGTCCCCTGTCCCAGACTGGAGCCTACTACGGCATGGTATCTTAGTAATTCATCTCTGACCTCCAATTCCCTAGGTGAACATTAAATTGCAGACACCTGACACTCATTCTCTGCTAATTTGCTCACTGTCATCAAATCATTTGCTACCCTTCCCTGGTCTCAGCCTTCTGGCATATAAAATGGAAAGAATACCATTGCCTGCATGATTATCAAGGCTGAGAGAGAGAGGATGTTGCTACCAGAGCTGCAGCTGGCTGATGGCAGGGCCTGGTTAGGGTAGGACAGGAGATGATTGTGGGAACCAGATAGAGTGTCTTGCAGAAGATGGGCCCAGGCTGCATGGACCCCCAGCAAGAACCAGCTGGGGGACTTCTATCTGCTACTCCTATCCCATATCTTGGACTAGCCCCTTCTATTCTCCTGACTTCCAGACCCTGGAGCCACCATCAAGGATACAAGGATGGTCCTTTTAACAATATTTCCCCACTGAGCTACAGGAAAAGGGGCAGCCTGGTGAGTGGAGGGCTTTAAGCTCTTTTCCCCTGCAGTGCCACGAAGAGAATGTTCCCTCCTCTATCTTGCATTTCAGAGATACTTTCAGAAAACTTCTACACACCAGGCCCTTAGAGGCTTGGATACAGCAGTGAGCAAAAACTAGAGTCCTTCCTGGTGGAGCTGACCTGGGAATAGTTACCATGAAACATAGCAAATAGGAGGAAGACATGGAATGTTGGAAAATGATAAGTGCTATTGAAAAAATTTAAAGAAATCAGCCGGGCGTGGTAGCACATGCCTGAAATTCCGGCTACTTGGAAGGCTGAGGCGGAAGGATCGCCGGAGCGCAGCAGGTCGATGCTGCAGAGGCCGGGAGCGGCCACTGCACTCCAGTCTGGGCGACCGAGTGAGAATCCAACTCAAAAAAAAAAAAATTAAAAGTAGAGTAGAGGACATAAGATCAGGAGCATGAAAAACAAGTTGTGTATTAAACAAGTTGGACAGGTGATTGAAAAGGTGAGATTTGAGCCAAGACCTGAGGAGGTGACAATGGGCGAGAATACCCCTAGCGGAAAAGCAATCCAGAAAGAAGGCACAGCTGGAATCCCCTAGGGGAATGTGCCTGGGATGTTTGAGAATAGTGAGTCTGGAGCAGAAGGAGCACAAGGCAGCCTGATGGAGATGGGGGCGGTGTACACAGACCACACAGGCTTAAAGGATCACTGTAAGGACTGGGGCTTGTTACACAAAACTTACAGGAGGCCATTGTTTTGAACTAAGCTTCTGCACTAGACCCCAGTACACCAGATGAAGCCAAAATGGAGTCACATATTAAAGTTCCACATCATCAAACTGAAACTAAATTGTTATCTGACCTACAAGAAATCAGAAGTTAACAGCCAAATTCCCAAGCAGGCTGGTTTCAGCAGGCATGATAATGTAGTTCCCACCATTACAAAAAAGTCACCTGATGTCAACCATGCTGTTCCAACCTTACAAGGAAAGTAACTGAAATGACCATTCTGCTTCTTGTTCTTTGTTTCTGCTTTCTTCAGCTCTTTTCTGTCTATAAAACAAATGTCTTTTGCTCTGCTCATTGGAACATGCCTTCTATTTTATGGAATAAATCTGCTTCTGATTCAATGAATCTATTGCCTGATTCTAGAACTGCCAATAAAGTCAACTTTTAAAGTAAGTTTGCTGTAATTGTATGTTTGAACAGGCTGCTATTCTGAGGGAGATGAAAGTAAAAAGGCCAAGACTGTCAGGTTTTTCTGGCTGCTGGGTGCAGATTCAATAAAGGACGACAAGAGACAGGAAGTGCAGAGGGAGGTTGGGAAGCAATTGTGGCAGTTCAGGGAAGAAATTTGGTGTCCTGGAAGCAAGTGAAGATGGAGGAAGAAGGCAGGAGGAGCAAATGCTGTTGATGGTTGAGAACTGAAAATCAACCACTGGGTTTAGCAACCTGGTCAGTGCAGCTCTTGGGGAGGACACATTGAGTGGAAGCCCAAATGAGTCAGGTCCTAGCTGCTCTCACCAGACTATAGTATGGTCACTCAAGCTTAATGATTTTCTGCATCTCCCTTGTTAGGAAGGTTCTCAGCCTGCTTCAACCCAAGGTCACTCATGCCAGTCATTTCTTCTTGGGCAGTAAGCCTACTGCTCTCGGAACAGCTGGATGGCGAAGCCTGGGCAGTGCCAGGTGGCAGATGCCATCCAAGCACAGTGGCCAGGAAAGCTTTCAGGTACCGGCGAAAACGGCGACTGGAGAAGGCGTACAGGATGGGGGTAAAACAGCAATGAAGGAAGGCAATGCTCTCTGTTACCTGCAGGGCATAGTCCAGATGCTGGCTGACCCTGCAGTCCCCAAAGATTTGCAGGTCCAACAGCGAGTGTAGAAACAAGATGAGGTTGTACGGGAACCATAGCATGAAGAAAGCCACCACCAGAGCTGCAGCTATTCTAAGAGCCCGGCCCTGGCCCGGGGGCCTCAGCCTGACCAGGACACAGCCAATGCGAGAGTAGAAAAAGATCATGGCAAGGAGTGGAAGGAGAAACCCCAGGATGTTCTGCTGGAAGCGGAGGAAGAGTTTCCAGATGGTCCCATGCCCACTGAAATCGGCGTAGCAGTTCCACACACCCTTGGGATTTTCATGCATTTGTACAAAGACCATGTCAGGGATGGAGACAGCCAGGGCCACGGACCACACTAAGAAAGCAAGGAGTAGGCTCTTGGCCCGGGTCCTCAGTCTGTGGTGGGGCCGAGCATGGACGATCTCCAGGTACTTGTCCAGGCTCATACAGCTGATGAAAAAGATGCCACTGTAAAAGTTAATGGTATAGAGTGTGCTCACCATCTTGCACAAGAAACTCCCAAAGACCCAATGCCAGGCCACAGAGATGCTCCAGAAGGGCAGTGTCACCACAAACAGAAGGTTGGAGATGGCCAGATTCAGCAGATAGACCTCAGCCATCTGCCTGCGAGGTACATACCGGAGCAAGACCACTAGGAGAAGGAGGTTCCCACCCAGGCCCAACACAAAGATCAGGCTATAGAAGACTGGCAGGAAGACTCTGGCAAAGGACAGCACTGCGTCCTTCCTGCAGAGCATGAAGGCTATCTCATCCAGGTAGTCATACTCATAAAAGAAACTGCTGTTCTCAAAGCTGGCATCCTCGGTAGTGCGTGGCAGTGGGGAAGCAGTGGTGGCCATGTTCGAAAGAGGCATCCAGTCCCGGTGCTCTGCAGTGGGGTGGGGGAAAAATATAGTGAGACCTCGCATTTCCTAACTCTCGCCAAACCCACTTTCACTACTGCCCTAGGATGTCCAATAGACTTCAATTCTACATCAGCGCCTGCAGTCTACAAATAAGAACACAAGCTATGAGAGCTTCACTCCACCACTCAATAGTTACATCACCTTGGATACCTGACTAACCTTTAGGTGTTCTTAGAGTATTTAATTCTTTCATTATGACTTCATTTCTTTATTTTTCTCCTTCATCATCTAAAAAAACTTATGTTGTCTTTTGAATTATCTTTCAATATTTAGGAATGCCATTTCACCTATTTATTGTGTCTCTTGATTCTTCCTCCTGTGTGGCTTATAATTACTCTTCCTTGTGTGACTTATAACTTTTTTTAAATGAGAGCTAATCTTCCGTGTGGCTTTTTTATCGATAAATATCCATTGTGTTCACTCTAGCTTTCTAGTTTTCTTTATTTCTGTCATTTGAGGATTTATCTTGCTTTTGGATAGTTTTTAATATTTATTTATAAATATTTAGTTTTATATCAATATTTTCAATGGCAAATATTTAATATTTTAAAAATATTTTATCCATCATTTTTCTTTGAAGCAGAAAGGTGTGATCCACCATATTGATGGACTCAGAACCTACTAACCTCTTCTATCCTTCAGTTTTCTTGTCTTTAAATTAAAATAACAATAGTACATGCCTCCTGAAGTTCTTGTGATGCTTAAATGTGATAATACATGCAAAGCACTTAGAGTTCTACAAAGAGAACTCTACTAGAACATAGTTGGCACTCAGTAAGTGTTAGCTTAAATTATTGTTTAGCCAAGGACTGAATCTGTCATCTCTCCATCAGCCCCTTCTTTCTTGGGTCCATATAGCTGAATGGTACCAACTACTCAGTCACCTAAGACTGAAACATGGGCGGCACCCCAGAATCCTTTCTCATCACCCCTACCACCACCCTGTGAGTCTCTACTCTTGAATCTGCTCACTTATTTCCAAGTTCCATAAAGATATATACATGATACTCTTTTAATAAAATTAAGAACTGCCTGGCACAGTGGCTCATGCCTGTACTCTCAGCACTTTGGAATGCTGGGACAGGAGGATTGCTTGAGACCAGGAGTTTGAGACCAGCCTGGGCAACACAGCAAGACTCCCATCTCTACAAAAAAGTCAAATTAAGACAACTGAAATTAAAAATATATATATTTTGAAAGATACAAATAGATGAAAGGGCCGGGTTCGGTGGCTCAGCCTGTAATTCCATGCCTTTGGGAGGCTGAGGTGAGTGGATTGCCTGAGCCCGCGGGTTCGAGATCCGCCTGGGCAGGTGAGACCTCATCTCTACAATAAATCAAAAAAAAATTAGCCGGGCGTGGTAGCGCGCGCCTGTAATTCCAGCTACTCGGAAGGCTGAGGCGGAAGGATCGCCAGAGCCCAGCTGTCGAGGCTGCGGTGGCCGGGAGCGGCCACTGCACTCCAGTCTGGGTGATAGAGTGAGACTCCAACTCAAAAAAAAAAAAAAACCAAATAGATGAAAGGGAAATGACAGGCACCAGATTCAAGATGGCAGCAGCTTGGGCATGAGAAGTCAGAGACTCAGGGTAGGGTAAGCACAAAGATGGACTGAGTCACTGTCCATGGTCAAGTGTCCCCTGGGGCAGTGACTTCCCAGAATTTTACTGTGTTATTAAAAATAATTTTTGGAAGAGAGCATCACATGAACCAGTGACACAAGTCTGTCATGAACTAAGAAATATGGTCAATCCCGAATTGTGTTCCAAAAGGAAAGAGAGAGATACTTCATATTCGACAAAGACTGCATACTCATAAACAGTGAGGGACAGACATGAAAAAAACAAAGACTGTTTACCAGTGGTGAGGAGAGCTCAAGGAGAGACAAAAGAAATAAAAATGAATATGTGGCCCAAGCAGGCAATCACGGAGAGCCACCAAAGAGACTACAAACTGAGACGTGCAAGTCAGCTCTACCCTATACCTCTGCATTTTATTTTTTAAACTTTGCTTCAAGTGAGCTTGAACTTTTTAATACGTTCAATGCTCATTAGTATTTCTTTTGTAAATTATTTATTGCTTTAATGGTCAGGGCTTCTCACTTTATAAGAAGTCTTATATAGTAAAGATTTTAGCTTTTTTCCATATAGATTAAAAACATTTCCCCCAGTCATTCCTGATGAAAGTGTTGTGTTTTTTTCCTGGTAGAATTTTAAAAGAAATGTTGATTTAGGTCCTCAGCTGACCCTTTTAGGATCCATGATGCTGTGACCTCATGGCTGATGAAAATATCCAACATTACTGAGACAGAACCTCTCCTAAGGGAGCCCTGGAGGCCTTTTACTCCATAAGCCTCTGCCCCACCCTTGGGCTTCTATCCAATGGCATCTGGACCAGATGTTGGAGAAATCACACACATGCTCTGTCTCCACTCCAGAAGCTCAGCCTGAATGACTTTATCTAAGGCCCAGCTCTGTTCCTGACCACCCCTGGGAATTTCACCCAGTGCCTTCCTTTGCTAGTCCTGTGCAGTTGGGGCCTCCCAGCCCCGAACCTCTCCCTTTCCTGGGCAGCAGCAGTAAGGACACCCCTAGAACACAGCTGGTGTTTGAAGTCTGTGAGCTGCTGGGGGGCTCTGGGAGTGGAGAGGCGAGGAGTGCTCTTCTGCACTTGGGCTGATCAGTGTTTATTCATCAGGAATTGATATTGATTAAGCACCAGCTGTGAGCTGCCAGCACTGACTGATCATGATCTGATTTCTCAAAATCCCCTGGCTTTGACTTTAGCGAACAACCATGTCTGACGAATGCTTAAATCAAAGCCAGAGGTCAGGGTTAGCAGGTCCTGAGCTGGCCACCTTTAACATTCTCTCTCCACCTGGAACACTCTGTTCCCTTCCCACTCAAGGCCTTTATCCCTTTGATCTTTTACTCTGGGAACCTTTCCATGTCCTCTTTGCCTCTGGGGCAACCACTCTCTCTTATCACTTCTGTCAATAATATCAAAATCAACAAGGGCAGTAACCAGCACCCCATAGGCACATTACAATTGACCAGGCTCTTTCATATCCCCTTTGATAGTCCTGTAAGGCAAACACCAGGAAGGAACTGTCAGGAGCAAAAGCGACTTTTCCAGGGTCATGTAGAAAGTCAAAGGCCAAACTGCATTTGAAACCCGGATCTTCAGATTTCAAGCCCACGGTGCCTTGCCCATGGCTCCCTCTCGTCCTTGGTCTCTGTTCTGCCCCACCCAGCAGTTATAAAAAGGGGTCACATAAAAAGGTGTGCCTGAGTCTTGGTTGGTTGCCCAAGATCTTGCCATCATTGGTGGTCTAGCTGCAGTAGTTACCACCATTAATGCTCCAAGGCTTTATTGGGCTCCCTGTGAAGCATAGCCTCTCTGGGGTGGGCAGTATAATGGCCCCCAAAAATATTCACGCCCTAATCCCCAAACTCTGCAAATGTGTTACATTATATATAAAAGGGACTTCACAGATGTTATTAAATTAGGAGCCTGGAGATGGGAGATTAGTCTGGTTTCTCCAGGTGGGTCCATTGTCATCACAAGGATCCTTCTAAGAGAGTGGCAGTAGTGTCAGAATCAGAGAAGCAGAGGTCAGAGTGAAGCAGCTACAAGACAATAAGTGCAAACAGCATCTAGAAGCCAGAAGAGCAGAGAACAGACTGTCTCCTAAGCATCCAGGAAGAACATAGCTCTGCTGGCCCAGTGTAAACTTAGACCTCTGGAAGACTAAGACAATAAATCCATGGTGCTTGAAGCCACTGAATTTGTGGTAATTTGTTACAGCAGCAATAGGAAATTAATACACTTCCTGTGACCCTTCTGTGCCCTCAGAATCTCAGACGGAGTGAGCGTACATCATGTCTACCTACATTAACTTACAGATGGGGAAACAGACTCAAAGAAGGGGAACAACTTGTACAAAGCCTACAGTTGGTAGAATTTCTGACTGTGCTTCAAGTCTCTGTCTCCTCCACCCTTAACTGCTCTCTGTCCAACCCAATTCTGTTTCTCCTTTTTTTGTTTTTGTTTTTTTACTTTTCCTTATTTCCTGAGTTCATTTTGCTAATCCGGCAACACTGTGAGAGGAATGAACGGAATGTCAGTGATTCACATCTTAATGTGAAGTAGAAGGTAGTAGGGGAACCCTTGACGAGGCTCTGCACTGGAAGCTTTGGGCCATCCAGAGAACTCCATAGAGGCTAGAGAGGAAGGGTTGAAGGAAGAGTGATAGCAAGGGCAAGGTCAACTGAGCTTCCCCTACAGTGAAGCCAAGGGTACAGAGACAAATCAGAGCTTGTCTCTGGGGCAGTAACATCTGTAAGGCTACTGACTTACGCTGGCCACAACTCTGACTTTGTAAGAATTTCTGACTGTAAAATAGTGTCTCCTCCTAGGGATGCAGGATTCACCTCCCAAGGTCTCTCAGAGAAGTTGCAGTAAGGCAACAAGAAAGAGGATACTGCAATGCCCATCTAGCCAAGAAGGCAGCCATATTAGTCCAGCTCCTTCCATTGAGCTGAACACTCACTTGTAATTTTCTCATTTAATCCTTGCCATAGTCCTGGGAAGCAATACTATTACAATCCCATTTTCCAGATGAGGAAACAGGCTTGGAGAGGAGAAGCCCAATTGTCCCTAACCCCAGATTAGCAAATAATGGACTCAGGGTTGGATGGTCCTCACAACACAAGGTGGAACTGGTGACATCTTCCCCCAGCTCCTCCTTTCAAAACAGACCAAGCTTGAATTTGAGGTATGAGGCTCTGGCAGTGGGATTTCTGGCCTCAGCAACTAGTGGCAGAGAAGACACAAAACCAGTGGTATGCTGGGCCAGCCCTGACAGGTTGTGAGAGCCAGTGTGTGGCATCCGAGAGGCACTAAACAAATAATCGTGGAATTAACCAATTCTGCATTCAGTGGTGTGAGGTTGGTAGCTTAAAATTC